TTTAAATTATCAAAATAGCCAGCAACCCCGGGGGGAGAGAAATGCATTCATGTCCTCAGAGAGCCTGAAACACTGCTCATGGCATCCTTTGACACAGGAAGCAAATAAAGAGTGGCATTAATTGATAGAAAAGACCTTACAGGGAAAAAGCATTGTATTAAGTCTGAATGTTCCTTTCCCCTGGCTACAATTTAGGAATTTTAAGTTAATGATATTGCTCAAGAAGTCTGTTTTGAATACAATAGGCTTAACTACCTCAGAAGACCTTGAAAGTTTAGTGAGAGGTAAGAAAGAAAATCTGATTAAAACAAATTCATACAGTTCATGTTCCTGGCTGGGAAGTCAAAAGAGAATATCAATTTATTTCCCAATAAATTTAAAAAATTAACATATCTAAACACAATATTAGTGATATTTGAAGGAATTAATATTAATAATAATACAGACAAAGAAATGACATATGGACAGAGGACTTATTTTCCCATCCTATCCATTTCAAATATATAGAATGCAAGATAAAATATAATACAAAAAGCAAATAAATAACCAAAAGGAGAGAATAAGAAAATCCAAAACCCAAGTCAAAAACTTTGATTCATGACAAATCTACAAAACAAAATTTGCCATATATGAATTTAATTTCAGAAATACAACTGAACTTCATAAAGTGTGAAAAAATTTAATCTCAAAAGGTCATCAGTGACTGTCAATGAAAAAAATCAATAATGAGACATGGATTAGACTCAAATTAAAGTAGTAATATGTATCAGTTGAACACAAATTTTAAAATACATATATGAGAATGCTCAAAGAGTTAGGTGAATAGATTAGAATAACAAAAAATGTAAAGAGATCAAAATAAAGCTATTAAAAGTCCATGAAAAAAATAAACATTTAAAATTATACAATTAAAAGATAGTCATTGAAACTGAAAACTCTAAAAAGAGAATATGTTATAGAGTTGCAACCAACTTTTTTTTTTTAAAGATTTATTTATTTTTATTCAAGAACCGGGGTACAGGCCAGATATGCAGGAGGGTGAGAGGAGTCACCGGAGACCCAGCGGGGAACAGAACAGCCAGACTGAAATACACTGCTGAGGGGAGCAGGGGGCGAGACAGGAGAGATCTGCTTCGCCATGTGGGATTCTCGCGCTGCAGAGGCTGCGGACAGCTCCACAGTGCGGTGCTCAACAGCCTGCGCCACCAGGGAGGCTCTGCAACCAACTTTTGTTCAACAATCTTGGAAGCTAAGTATCTTTAAAGTGCAGTAGGAATTGCTTTCAGCTTTTCACCATTGAGAATGATACTGGCTGTTGGCTTGTCATAGATGGCCTTTATGATGTTGAGGTATGTTCCTTGTATCCCAAGAATTTCAAGGGCTTTTATCATGAATGGGTGTTGCACTTTGTCGAAAGCTTTCTCAGCATCTATTGATATTATCATATGGTTTTTATATTTCTTTTTGTTGATGTGTTGGATAACGTTGATTGATTTTCAGATGTTAAACCATCCTTGTGCCCCTGGAATGAATCCAACTTGGTCGTGGTGAATTATCTTATGGATACATTGTTGGATTCTGATAGCTAAAATTTTATTGAGGATTTTTGCATCAGTGTTCATTAGGGAGATTGGCCTGTAGTTTTCCTTTTTTGTGTTGTCCTTGTTCGGTTTTGGTATTAGTGTAATGTTGGCTTCATAAAACGTGTTTGGTATTGTCCCTTCCTTCTCAATTTTTTGGAAGAGTTTGTGAAGGATAGGCACTAATTCGTCTCTGAATGTTTGGTAGAATTCATTTGTAAATCCATCAGGTCCTGGGCTTTTGTTTTTGGGGAGGTTTTTGATTACCATTTCAATTTCGCTAATTGTAATTGGTCTGTTTAGGTGTTCTATTTCTTCTTTATCTAGCTTTGGGTGATTGTAGAGTTGTAGGAATTTGTCCATCTCCTCTAGATTGTTGAACTTGTTTCCATATAACTGTTCATAGTAGTTACTGATTATTCTTTTGATTTCTGCTGTGTCCGTTGTGATTTCTCCTCTTTCATTGATGATCCTGTTTATTTGTGCTTTCTCCCTTTTTTCCTTTGTGAGCCTGGCTAGGGGTTTGTCTATTTTATTGATTTTTTCAAAGAACCAGCTCTTGGTTTCATTGATCTTTTGGATTGTTTTTTTAGTTTCAATTTCATTTATTTCTGCTTTGGTTTTTATTATTTCTTTTCTTCTACTGGATTTGGGGTTTTTTTGTTGTTCTTTTTCTAGATCTTTGAGCTTCGAGATTAGGTTGTTTCTTTGCGTTCTTTCTTGTTTCCTGATGTGAGCTTCTATTGCTATATATTTTCCTCTTATTACTGCTTTTGCTGCATCCCATACATTTAGGATATTGGTGTCCTCCTTGTCATTCAATTCAAAAAATTTTTTAATTTCTTCTTTCATCTCCTCATTAGTCCAGTGGTCTTCTAGTAGTGTGGTTTTTAATCTCCATGAGGTAGGAAAGTTCCTTGCCTTCTTTTTATGGTTTATTTCTAGTTTGATGCCTTCATGGTCAGAAAAGATGGTTGATATGATTTCAATCTTGGTGTATCTGTTGATGTTTGTCTTGTGCCCCAGTATGTGATCGATCCTGGAGAATGATCCGTGTGCGCTTGAGAAAAATGTGTACTCCATTTTTTTGGGGTTTAGTGTTCTATAGATGTCTGTTAAGCCCAATTGCTCTAGGTCCTTATTTAGAGCTTTGGTTTCTTTACTTATTTTTTGTCTTGTTGATCTATCCATTGTTGATAGTGGTGTGTTGGATGTCCACTCTCACCATTGCTTTTCAATATAATACTGGAAGTTCTAGCCAGGGCAATAAGACAAGAGAAAGACATCCAAGGAATCCAAATAGGAAAAGAAGAAGTCAAACTATCACTATTTGCAGACGATATGATATTATACATAGAGAACCCCAAAAACTCCACAGAAAAGCTAATTCAACTCATCAATCAGTTCAGTAAGGTGGCAGGATACAAAATCAACACGCAAAAGTCAGTAGCCTTCCTATACACAAACAATAAATCTGAAGAAGAAGAAATCAAAAAGACCATCCCTTTTGTTATTGAAACAAAAAAAATCAAATATTTGGGAATAAATCTAACAAAAGAGGTAAAGGACCTATACAAAGAAAACTATAAAATACTGTTAAAAGAAATAGAAGAAGACACAAAGAAATGGAGAGACATCCCCTGCTCATGGATTGGAAGAATAAACATTATTAAAATGGCCATCCTTCCAAAAGCAATATACAGATTCAATGCTATTCCAATCAAAATTTCAATGTCATTCTTCAAAGAAATAGAACAATTATTGATGAAATTCATATGGAATCACAAAAAACCCCGAATAGCCAAAGCTCTCCTGAAAAAAAAAAGAAGGGAATGGAGGCATCACACTCCCAGACTTCAAACTATACTACAAAGCCATAATCATCAAAACTGCATGGTATTGGAACAAGAACAGACATACAGACCAATGGAATCGAATAGAAAATCCAGAAATAAACCCACAGATTTATGGTCAACTAATCTTTGACAAAGGAGCAAAGAATATGCATTGGAGCAAAGAAAGTTTGTTCAATAAATGGTGCTGGGAAAACTGGGTCGCTACATGCAAAAGAATGAAGCTTGACCACCACCTCACACCATACACAAAAATCAACTCAAAATGGATTAAAGAACTAGACATAAGACCTGAAACCATAAAATATATAGAAGGAAATATAGGCGAAACACTACGTGATTTGCACATCAAAGACATCTTTACAGACACATCACCCAAAGCAGTGATAGTGAAGGCAAAGATAAACAGCTGGGACTACATCAAATTAAAGAGCTTTTGCACAGCAAAAGAGACAATAACAAAAACAAAGAGAAACCCCACCAACTGGGAGAACATTTTTGCACCCAACACTAATGATAAAGGACTGATCACAAAAATCTGCAAAGAGCTGATGAGACTCAACAACAACAAAGAAAATAATCCAGTCAAAAAATGGGCAGAAGAGCTTAAAAGAAACTTCTCTGAAGAGGAAATGCAAATGGCCAACAGGCATATGAAAAAATGTTCAACATCACTTGTTATCAGGGAAATGCAAATCAAAACTACCATGAGATACCATCTTACACCAGTGAGAATGGCACATATTAAAAAAACTAGCAACAACAAATGTTGGCGAGGGTGTGGAGAAAAAGGAACTCTTCTGCACTGTTGGTGGGAGTGCAAACTGGTCCAACCACTATGGAGAGCTGTGTGGAGATTTCTGGACCTACTAAACATAGAGCTTCCATATGACCCAGCAATTCCACTCCTAGGTATTTACCCAAAGGACACAGAAACATCAATTCCAAAGAACACCTGCACCCCTATGTTTATAGCAGCACTGTTTACAATAGCTAAGCTTTGGAAACAACCCAAATGCCCAAAAATAGATGACTGGATCAAGAAGATGTGGTCCATATACACCATGGAATATTACTCAGCATTCAAAAAAGATAAACACATGCAATTTGCAGCAACATGGATGGCGCTGGAAGGGATCATGCTCAGCGAAATAAGCCAAAAAGAAAAAGAAAAATACCGGATGGTCTCACTCATAGCAGGAATCTAGAAAACTTAAATAAGAGACCAGGAAAATGAATAACTATAAGAAAGTGAAAATCAAAATCAACAAAAAACTATGAACCAGAGACACTTTTAGGGGGCGGGGGCGGGAGGGGAGGGATTGGGGTCAGAATGGGGGGGCTGCAATTGTATGGGGAATATAACAATAAAATGTATAATAAAAAAAAAAAGAAAATATTAAAAAATAATAATAAAAAAAAAATAAAGTGCAGTAGGAACACAACTGCCAAATTAAAGCTGTGAATATGGCAGAACTATTATACATAACTGGGGCAAAATGAAAAAAAAAGTCAGATATACTCAGAAAAAGTTTATCCCTTACAAGCTGTCTCTTTTTTTTGCCCCCATGAGAGAGCATGAATGCAGTCCCCACTACCACAAATTTTGCTGTTGAGTTCCCCACATTTGGGGAAACCACAGGGGTCACCACATCCTGAGTGCAATGAATAAGCCTTGCCCTGGAAAAACCACCGTGATCATGATCATGGTCTCTCCCCTGCCAGGTAAATATCACTCTTTTTTAATTATAAAAATATTAGTAACACTGAAGGGAGAGTAGAGACTTGGAATCTAGGAAACAAATATGAGATCAGAAAATGATAAAATGAATTCAATTGTAATTGACTAAATATAATCAATAAATTTTACATTTAATAAAGAGAAATAAAATTCTTAATATATTAACAAGGGGTGGCTGAATATATTTATTTAATTTATTGAGGTAACAGTTGTTTGCAATACTGTATGATCTAGGAGAATAAGTTCACATCTCAGACACAGGTTACCACACCAAATCCACCACCAAAGTACCCATAGTTCTTTACCCTAGACAGCTGGGCATTCTAACTTTCCTTTTTCCCCCCTCCCTCTCTAGTAGCTTCAATTCTACAGTCATATTTCTAGGGTTGTTTTTGTTTAGTTTTCTCATTTCTTTTGTTCTCTCTAGTCCAAAAATGAGTGAAATCATCTGGTATTTCTCTTTTTTTCTTTGTGACTTATTTCACTTAGCAAAATCCTCTTCAGTTCCATCCATGTTGTTGCAATTGCCATGAGTTCATATTTTTTATGGCTGAGTAATATTCCATTGAATACACATCCTTCTAAAGCCCACATTGATTATTTATAAAAGTTGACTCTGTATAAGACAAGAAGAAATCTCAGCGAATTCCAAAAAAAAAATCTGTGCAATACACATCAAATTCTCTCACCATGATAGAATAGTAGAATTTTTTTTAAAAGTCAAAACATTAAAAACATATAGGAAGATAAATAAAAGAAACCTTGAAAAACAGCGAGGAAGGTGTTGCCAATTATTATGTGCACATATAATAGAGCAGAAAAAGTGTTGTCCACTTAAGATTCCATAGCCAGAAACAGAAACTATAGACTGTTTCACATATGCCTATAGTATATAAACATACTTTATATATACTATGTGTTATAATAATTGTGTATAAAAGAAAAAGATTCAATAAATTGTAGTGAAATATTTGGTTCATAATTTGGAAAAATTCCTTTATATTTTCATCTCATAATTTAAAACCAAATCAGTTCCAGATGGTTGAAACAGTTGAATTTAAGTCAAGACAGAAGATATGTAGACAATAAGAGAAATAAAGCGTCTCTGAATTGAATATTTTCTAACCCTAGAAGCAAACAAAAGTTTTAATAAGCAAAATATATATTTGGTTATGTTATGTTTTCCTTAAAATACTTCTGTACATTAAATTACCTACAATAAAAAAGGATTACAACATAGATTCAAATAAACACAGCTTCTCTAACTATAAATATCACATATAAATCAATGATAGCTTTAGTAGATAATTAGCATGGGGAAAAAAGTGAATTATTCACAGAACATACAATATGAATTAAAAATTTTCTATTTACAAATGGAATTTATTTTCCTTTAAAATACTTTAAGGGTCTGTGAGAGGTTCTATTGAGATTGTTAGTTTTGCGGAGTTGGCACTCACTTTGGCAGTCAAGGGTTTCATAAAGCTTCTCTGGCAATGTATGAACAAAATTTCATTCATAATGATGAGTTTCAACTCTCTATTTGAAATGTGAAAATTGTCAGTAGGTTAAGAATCTGAAATGAAGGAATGAATAGGTAAATGATGCCAGCCCTCAAAATAATATGCAATCATTGACATGACTATAAAGGATCTTACTGCAATTGCAGAGTATGGTCATATGAAGTTTTAGTTCTATTTATGGTTACAACATGATAGTGTGCTGTGTCATAATTCAAAATAAATCAGTATCCCAAACTATAGTTACAGTTTTAACTACATAAAAAGTGCAAGAAAATACATTAATGTGTTAACTGTCTATCTCTTTGTTTGGAATTGTGGGGAATTTCTGCCCTTTGAAACACTCCCCTGTATTCTTCACCTAAAGCATGCATTAGCATTTATTAACAAGTAATTTTAAAAATAAGTATCTGCATGTGACTAGAAGTAGAATAATAGATCAGGTAGAAACTTCAAGGATGTTGGGAAAACTTTAGAAATCCTAGAAATCATTTAGCTATATTTGCTGTGTAGTTCACATCATGGTGCTTAAAAGAATTTGCGAACTGAACAGTTAGACTATTCATTGTCATGTGATTGGATTTTTCACTCAATAATTGATACATCTTTTGTTAATAGCTAAAGATCAGATCTTACTAAGGTTTATAATACATTTTCACACTATTGTTTCTCCAGAGTTAATGAGTCAATTGTTTTGCAAATTTTTGATGATATATTTTGTTTAGATACCTAGCTTTTCTTAGTCTCAATTTTTTTTTTTTTTTATAGAGGCATGTTTTATTTATTTATTTATTTGTTTGTTTGTTTGTTTTTTGTTCATACATGCACTGGGTACAGTCAGAAGCGTGGGAGGGCGAGAGAATTCACCAGAGCCAGAGCGGGGAGCAGAGCAGGCAGAAGGACCAAAGTACACTGCTGAGGGGAGCAGCGGGCGGCAGGAGAGGTCTGCGCGCCATGCGGGACCCTCGCTCAGTGGCCGGGGAGCAGCCGGGGATCGAACCGGTGCCGCGGAAGCTGCGGGCAGCTTCGCAACCCAGCGCTCAACCGCTGCGCCACCGGGGAGGCCCAGTCTCAATTTTTTGATATGTGCAATAAGAGATGTTCCAATGTTTTTCTAATTTCACTGTGTATCTGAATAACTTGGGGATCTTGTTAAGCCACAGATTACATTTCAGAAGAAAAGGAGTGGGCTTGAGTATCTGTATTTCTAACACTTATTTTTATAGCAGAGAACCCAGGCCCCAGCAGCTTCAGAGGTCTAAGGTTTTACCCTTTACTATAAAGGCAATTCTACAGAGGTGTGGGAATCAGGGCTAGTTATACTGCAAAAAGCCCCTTCTTCATCCTCTCCCTACCAACAGTTTTATCAACTTGAGTTCTTTGACTCAAGAGCAGAGGGGAGGCAACTGCCAGATTGTGACTATCAGTGTGGAAAAGATGGTTGAATGGTCGTGGTGAAGGAGGCAGGGAAATTACACTCTGACCTAAGTTGATTTGCTGACTGAGTTCTATTTCATTGACACTATGTCCTTCCCCTGCTTTCTCACTGGAACTAATTAAATAGGCCCATCAGGCTGATATGTGATATAGCTTCAACCCCACCAAATTGTAAAATTGCATTTGTCCCTCTTCTCTGGACCCATGGGATTGTTTTACCCACTGGACTTGTGCCAGGCACTGAAGACAATAGAAGAAAACAAGGTTTGATTTTTTTCTTTGAAGGAGCTTGCACTCTGGCTGAGGAGTTAAAAGAGAGGGAAAATAAGCAATTAGAGAAAGTGAGAAGACTTTGGACATTGTTACTTTGATGAACTGGGGATTTAATGTTAACCTTGCATTTTTTGAAGTAAGTGTTGGATGGTCTGAGTTAAATAAAAAGAACCGCTGAATCTGAATCATTCCTCATCAAGCTAATTGAACAAGGGGAGTTCCAATACCTTTCTTATTGAAGGAGAACATTTATTTTCATTATTAAGACATAGACCAGAAGAAACACTCCACACCTTTCTTAAATGAAATGTGAACTCTTATACTGCAGAGACATTCTGCGAGGGAAGGGGGAGGAAAAGGGAAAAAGGAAAGAAGACCACGAGGGACTATGGTGATGGTTCATGGGTGAATTGGTAGTGGGAATTTTATGGTGAAAGATGTAAAAGAAGTAAAAGATATAAATTTAAAAAAAGATATTCCACTTTTTACGTCATTGATTGGATCAAGCAATAGTACTTGAGTTCCTAATCAATTAATTACACAAATCTTAATTTATAATACTAAACTAGTTCTTGTTTTTTCTTCAAAGATTTGTTTATTTATACAAGAACTGGGGTACAAGCCAGAGGCATGGGAGGGTGAGAGAATTCACCAGAGACAGAGTGGGGAGCAGAACAGGCAGATGGACTGAGAACACAGCTGAGGGGAGCAGCGAGAGAGACAGGAGAGGTCTGCTGCACCATGTGGATATCTCCCTGGTGGGCTGGGAATCGAACCCTTGCTGCAGAGGCTGAGGACAGCTTCACAGCGCTGCACTCAACCCACTGCGCCACCAGGGAGGCCTACTAGTTCTAATAGTTTTTGGTTTTATTTAAAAAAATAGATATTTGCTACAATTCTCACTGTCCACCAGCAAAACAAAGGGATTTGATTTGCCAGTTACTAAGGCAATCAAAAACAATGCTTTAGCATTCCTATTATTGAAACTCTTGCTGAGAATACTTCCAGTAGCCATATATCAGAAGTGTACATTGTGACCTTGAAAAGTATAATGCACAAGAAACAGACTTCAAATTAGTTCACAGCAAAGCTCAAATATTATTAGACTGCTCTAAGTGGAACTTTCTCTTCTTAGGCTTCTCCACTGGTTGTGGGAGCTATTTGAAGAAGGAAGAGTATAGTGGGAACGTGATACTGTTTTGTGATGAGGCAGAACAAAGAAGACTCTTAATGAGAAAGGGATTAATGCCTTCAAATTAGGAATTTTTAAATGTCTACTAATGTCAACATTAGTTGTAAAGAACTAATGTACAGGGCCTCCCTGGTAGTGCAAGGGGTTAAGACAAAACCTATGAAGCTATCTGTAGCCACTGCAACACAAGTTTGATCCCCAGCTGGGGAGCTACCCACATGGCACAGCAGACCTCTCCTGACTCACCTGCTGCTCCCCTCAGCAGTGCATTTCAGTCAGTCCGCCTGTTCTGCTGCCCATCTGTCTCTGGTGAATCCTCTCACCCCCCACACTTCTGGCCTGTACTCCAGTTCTTATATGCATAAATAAATAAATCTTTAAAAAGAAAAGAACTAGCATTCATATTGCTCAATTTGTTTTTAAAAATTCAGGAGCAGGGAATACTCCATAATATCTTTTATGATGCCAGCATTATTCTCATGCCAAAAACACATAGAAAATCCTGACCTGCATCTTAGAGTATACATGTGTAGTTATTTCTTTGGTATAGATGTAGAGAGATAGACTTGC